CAAAAAACAAACAAAAAATTTAAATAAAAAAATACACTGCTGAATTAGTGAAATTTCACCGATTTAAATTAACAGAGTAAACATTGTTTTCAACATTTAAATATTTTTATTGAAATTTTGATACATCGAGAAAGAGGATAATTAATAATATGCACATTAATTTGAAAGATTCTATTTACAATATACAAGATATCTATTTCGTAAATTAATTACCTTACCTGCGGAATTGAAAACCATAAATCAAACTGGAGATTAGCATGAAATGTTTTCTATAAAACGCATATAACAGTTACATTCTTACATTTCTTGTTTCGACTTATGTTTAAAAGTGTTATTTGTTGATTATAAGTAATTGATTTAAAAACATTTTTGTGCTAAATTTTTATTTAATAATAACAATTTTTGGAGCAAAACAAGTTCCGTTTTGCATTTTTGGATGTAAATTATATTTAGTTGACTGTATATTTATAAATCACCATTCTGTTCTAACTCGATATTTAAGATTTTAAATTCTTGAACTCTTAACATTTTCGCGATAAGAAAACAATCCCTTTGCTCCTCCAATAACTAAATAGTTGCAAATACAACTTCTTGTTGAAAGAAAATAATTTTTTATCATTATTAGAAGAGAACAACTAATGCAAATTGAATTTTGAAAGTACTCAATATTTGTTGAAATTCCAATAGCGAATAGAGAATCTGTCGTTGAGTCTTTGGGGCGTGTGCGATAAAAGGAAGGGGACTGTCTCTGCGAATATTTTATAAATTAACGTCAATGCAATACTTCCGGTGTAACCGGAAGTAGTCGACAAAGCGCACGCGTTCGCCTGGCACACGCGCAAGCAGAGTTAAAAAATCTTTCAGAGGCTTGTACGAAATTCCTCCTACATTGTCAACTGCCGCATTACTCCCTGCAGCAACGGCAATGCTTTTTTTTATCTTTCATTCTTTGATACCTTTAATGCCCAGACATCGGGGCGTGAACATATTTGCCAGGAGTGACAGAAAGTAACCGTCGAAAAGTTGATTTTTAGCAATTGAGGATTATCGCCAATCCTTATGTACATGAACTCGAAAGTTAATTTCAATTTCGGTAGTTGACAGTTTAATTAATTGAATAAGAAAACTATCTAGATCGGAATTACTCAGTAGTATTACACTGAGTGGAGATAAGATCTTGAGTTGGATGACGAACATAATGTCAGATTGATGCCACCGTCTAAGAACGGAAATGCAACCTTATTCTCTCAGCAGATGAATATCTTCTTTAACTTTTGAAAACTTGGTTCTTGAGTCTGTTTATTTTGTGCATGAGTTTAAGTTAGCAGGTTGTCAGGTAGTAATTTAGCCACTCTTTGGAGGAGAATTGTTGGAAGGACGGAAATTGTACAAAAAATGTAAAGGGCTTATACAAATATGCGCCTGTATCAATATAATATTTGACCTATGACACTAATGTGATTTATAGTCTCGAAAGCAAATTGAAAGTTAACGAGTTTGTAGTCACATAATGTGTGCCAGCCTTGTGTAATTGTACCAGGTTGACAAACACACACACACACACACACAAAATGTATAGGGCCACGTGGCTCCAACCCTTACGTGGTATGTGATCCTGGGCGGGGTTCTTAGGTTCTTTTCGCGACCTTTGTCCCATGCAGACCACCACCTGGAAATCCAGCAGGCGAACAACAATTTCTCCTTATATCAAATATCGAATGAGTTTTAACGGAAATGTACTTTCCATCTGTGATACTCTCTGATATCTTTATCAATAAATTAAACTCTTTTCCAAAGAAATTTGTCTCTTTCAAACCATTCTAAACTCAATCAATGTTACGAGATCCTATACTCGCTTCATCTACTTTTTCTATATAATATATTTTTCTATTTTTATCCTATTTTAGGATCACTCACAGTTTTTCTAAAGTTTTCAAATTGAGCCAAAAAACGTACCAAAATTTCGACGTTGCTTCGCAACAATTTTGGTACGTTTTTTGTCTCAATTTGATAAACTTAGAAAACTGTTAGAAGAATGGAAGTGGTATGGAAGTGAAATTTTATTTACATTGACAAAAAGTAGGAGCTTCTTTATATGTATGTACTGATGTATGACTTAGGAGATTATTAGGTGAATATTGAGTCGCTGTAGGGTTGCCGACAATGTCGCGCAAACGAGCAAGCATCCCCTGCATGCGTCCACCACGCCTTCCTATATATTCGCTGTGGAATAGTAAATTACCAACTAACGTGACCATGACCACCTATGGTCCTTCCATCTTCCTCAATCCTTCAATCTTTTTATCTTTTCGCTGCGGAATCATGTAATCTTTCAATTAAAAGCTCTCTTTCAATCTAATTAATTAATAAAAAGACCGAAATGGAATTCAGTCTTAAAATTACCATTTTATTGTTATTAGGTACAAATTTATCGAATATGATAAACTGAAGAAACACTGAAACATCCAAACACTGAAAAAAAATATATTATTTAAATCGAACACAATTATCTTCGTTATACAGTCACCAAAAATTATTTTTAAATTAAACTGAACAATTTTTATTCAACACAAAGTTTGATTCGATAATAATTAAGTTATTTTATACAAATCAACGGCCAGTTTAATTCAAACCTATTTTTTTAGTTGGCTACTTATTTTTGGAATAAAAAAAGTTTTTCTCAGTGTGTGATTAATATTATTATATCACATATGATTTAATGTGCACTAAAGAAATTTTCCTTGGTTATATATTAGCTAATGGTATATTGATGCGTATATTTTTAATGTATTGTTGGAGTGTTTTAGTCATCAATTTAGTTACATGTATGGTATTAAAATGTAAAATTACGACAATATAAATTTATTGGCTTGCATTTTGTATCAATAAATTGTCATTATTTGTATCAATAAATTTAGCTTCTCTCGAATTTCTGGACATAAGAATAATTTTTTTGAGGTTTTGATATCAAAAACAGTGAATTCAACTGCAATATAAAAAAATTTATTTATTTATTTACTAATATAAGTAATGAATTATCTATCTTTAGGAATCCGGGCAAGAAGTCCAAAACAAAAAGTCCAAAGTAAATGAAATCCAAAAAAGTAAAAAAAAAGTTTCACTTTGGAGTTACTTTTTGGATTTTTTGTCCTTGTCAAAATGTTCAAAGGCATTAAAAATCCAATGAAAAAAAAATAAGATATAAAAATTTTAATGGTTGTCTTGAATGAAATTGTTCTTTTTTTTGAGTTGCTCATTTCGATTACTGTGAATCGAAAGTATAGATAAACTTAATATTTTAAATATATTATTAAAAATAATTGAATTTTTCAAAGAATTTTATAAAAATTGTTGACAATAATTGTTTTTCTTGGAATAATTCTTTATTTATGAAAATAATTTTTGAAGAAATCAATAATTTTTATGTAAAATTTTATTATTTATGTAAATAATTAAGATCCTGCGATTTTAATATTAATATTTTAAATTCTGATTTTATAGTGTAAAAAGTAAAAACGTTTCTTTTTCACATGTTTCATTATTTATTTTGGACGGTTTTATTTACTTTGGATTTTTTGACTTTGGACATTTTTATTTTGGATTTTTTGTACTTTGGACTTCTTTCTTGGATTTTTCGGTCTTGATTTTTTGGATTGGATTTTTTGTCCTGTATACCTATCTTTAATTATACATTTATTTAAATGAAAAAAATTTAATTTGATGCATATAGATATTTTTTTATCAGTTCATAATCACAATTGCTAAATTATTTGATGGAGGAAACTCCTCTTATATAATGAATGTTACTTTTGATACTCTTTTGAGAAGAATATACATTAAATTTTAAGGCATCCACAAAAATGAAGATTTCTTTTATTACCATGAGGATTAATGAAAAAAGTTACATCCAAGTTTAAAAAGAAACATTTCTTTTGATTACATCAAAATTATAAAAAATGCTACAATTGTATAAAAATTAAATTTTTTAAAAACAAGATAATTTGTAAAAATAGTACTACAACTTATACATTGCAATTTCTTTCAAGAATTAGTAAAATTTACTAATTCAAAAGCAAATAGTCAGTCACTAATTCGAATTAGTAAAAAATTATACTAATTCAAATTTAGAGAGAAAATAAAAAATAGTAAATTGAAATTCTTTAAAACTGAAATTTAATAAACTGCTTTTATTTTTAAATTTAGAGAGTGAAAGAATTTTTCCAACCAGAAAGTTGAAAAATAATTTTGCATCTCAAGCAATAATTAAAATAATGTAATATAATTCTTTGGACAGTAGTATAATGGATTCTAGTATTCTTATATTTACTAGAAGAATAGGTTTTTAAATCGTTTATCGTCAAAGTGTCGAATTGCACAAAACGGTAAATTCCTGTACATCCTCGTATGGTTGAGAGCAAAAGAAGAGGCAAATAAACAAGCACTCAACGTAATCTTTTCAAGAAGCCGGCGCCTTATTGTGAGCGCTTTTGTGCGTCTTTGTGCTTGGAGTATCTTGTAAGACTTTTATGCTGTATTGTCGTAAACCTGGTCGGTTGGCCAGGCCATACGGATGCCGCGTTGAATATAAGTTTACCACATCTAAACGCGCGACCATCGTTTATAATTTACAAGAAAGTGGGGTGTACCTTTTTCTCTTGATGAACATATTTCCAGATGCTGTAGGTGCCTGGCTCATCATTTTCTGGAAATGTGGGCAAAGCCAAGAACAACTTTGCCTACATTCGAATATAAAAATAATTACTTCTTCGATATTCATTAAACAGAAAATTAATGCAAAGGTAACACATAAACAAAACCTTAAAATGAAATCGAAATTCAAAATCACTGATTTGAAAAATAAAGATCTAAACAAACAGTGTTTCTTGTTAAATAATAATTACACATTGCCTGGAATGGACTTGTCTGGAGAAATGTCAATAATTAAAACAAAGTGGAAAGGAGAAATGAAAGGATATACGATAAAAAGTAACAACTATATATTAAATTGAATTATTTAGTTATTATTCATACTTTATACAACAGTAATCATATTTAAGGTATTTTAGTTTTCCGTAATATCTATTTTCGTACAAGGGTATTCAGTGAAATCGATAACTAGGGGAGGGTCTGTTTTCATGCCCTAAATAAACAATTTTCTCCATTTTTACACTCTTATCACAACATCGTATTTTACATAGATCCACTTATATCTTACAAGCTAAGGGGTCCCGGCTTGGTATATACAATTGAAATCGATTTGCCTTGCGACCCGTTTGCGCACAATTGAATTTCGTCTCTCCCACCGATATACTAGCAATGCTAGGAAAACAGAACTGTATAGACTCGCAGAGTTTTTTAATGTCGCCTTTCCCCCTTATACACATTCGTCTAATCAAACACACGCGCAAATTGAAAAACTACGCCTCGTCAAATAGTCTTTACTTTTATTAGTTCAACACGCATCATTCATACATCTCCTCTATTCATTATTTAGGAACAGAAAAATTTTATCTTAAATTACTCAATTCTTTTTTTTTTCTTCGTATTATTGCACCGAAAGAATTTTATATCGTTATTATTACGACGACGACGACGACGACGACTTGTGACTACTTCGCTGTTCGTTTAATAGCCTATACATTATGCTTGAGTTCGTAATGACATTTTGCGTTTAATTTTTATTCATCGATAAACCGAATGTATTGTATGCGTACTTTAAGAATAAAATAGAAAATTCACCAAATAAATTAATTTTTATAAATACATTTACGAAAAATAAATCATATTTCGAAATTTATCTCATTCTCAATTTAAAAATATATTATAAAAACATTTTTACTTATAACAAATATTATATAACACTTTCTTCAAATTTAAGCGAGTCGAACTTTGATTTCATTCCAAATAGGTCAAAATTTAAAACAAAATATAAATAATTATTTTTAATATCAACCTGCTTAAATTTCAAGAGTTTCATTTTTCCCGTAAATTTTGTTCACTATTTTTTATGAAATGATTGAACTTGAAGTAGCTATGATTTTATAAGAATCAGTTCCACATTACAACACGTGTAATATGTATAAGAATATCACATAATTTTTTTTTATTCTGGCAGAAATAATATGTTGAAAATTGAATTTGTGAATAAAGTTTTGATCAACCTCTTTGCTTTTCTTCTTTCACTGGAAAAAATACAAGTAGAAAAAGAGTGAGACTAAAAAGAAAGGATCTATCAGACCGCATTCTCATGAGGCTACCATTGTCGTGCCTTGGATTTGGGTCACTGACAGAGCTCACCGGTCCTTCGTGATTCTCGTGACTCGCGAACGCAATCGCTCTTTTTGTGGTTTTTACCTCATATTGAGTCTCTTTCTGAGCCGACGCATTGCGTAATGGAAAAAGACAGTTTAAGTGCAAAAAAAGAAAAAACTTTTAAACAGTTTTACATTTATAACAGGAAAAAAATTTATAAATTTTAATTTAATTCATTTGATCTAAAGTTAGAATCAAATTTAAAGTAAGAGTAAAAAAGAAGCTTCAAATCAATATCAACACTTTTCGCATTTAAAAAATATTACATATTTTCATTAGCGATTAAAAAAATTTATTCTTCAGACCGTAAAAAAAATTTTTAAATTCTTAAAAATTTATATTTTTTAAGGAAGATGTATATATATACAATTATACATGTATATGTTTGTATATTGTCGAAAATTAGACGATTGAAATGATTTTTTACTCGATATTAGTGTATTCACAATTTTTGTTACACTAATAACTATTATAGTTTGTTACTTCTCAAAGTTTAGCGTTATTGCATCATAAAAGACTCGATAAAATTGACTTACGAAAATGTCATTAGAATTTCATTTACGTGATTTAGTTCACGAAGTAGGTCGCTCAGTGACTTATTAATTGAAATCATCAGTAATCGACCAAGTTGCTTTTTTAGATGTGCGAAATCTGAGTTGACTTTAAATGATACTGCAAAGAAAATTGTCGTTTCTTGTACCAATTTGAAAATACAAAAAAAAACATCTTCCCTTTTGATTGAATTCTGAGCGTTCGACGAAGAAGAAAGAGTTTCAAATCATTTGAAAATTATCATTGACGAAACTAATTTTAATCGCGTAATACTCTCAACTTGAATCGTTTTATTGTCAAATGTTTTGAATTCCAATTTAATTGGAAAATTTCTATTTGAAAAACTTATTTTAAGTATTGTACTCACATTTGGATATACAATACATTGTCGACTAGTTTAACGAAATAATTCAAGATAATTTTCAAATGGTCCACGATTATTGTTACATGTGAAAATTTGTTTTTTGTCACGAATAAAAATTCCCTCTTCAATTTATTTAACTACAGACATGTAGTTATTTTAAAATATAAATTTTCAAGAACATATTCGGTGCATTATCCTCATTGAGTTATGAGTAGAATTTTTCGAGGTAAACTTGCCTTTGATTTGTCCAGTAGTTATACATTAATTCACGATCAAACGAGGAGACTGTATTTTGACACTTTGAGATCTTTATTATCTCAAAATGTTTCTTTGTACATTATCACTTGACGGACGTCACTGGGCACTGATCACTAAATTCAAAAGATCGTCCGCAACTATTCGGCATTTCGCATGGAATTGTTCTAATAAACGACGATTCAAATACGCGCACTTTACAAAAACCTTCCTTCTAACCAAGGTAAAGTCAACATTTCAATTAATTTCACCTATCGCTGAAATCGCAACGTCGCACCACATACTTGAACAGCGAATTCCGTGTGCGTGAAGCGACATGACAATTTCTACAGAGAATATTATTAACATTACTCGATCTCTCGAGGCTATGTATAAACACTTTGGGCACTGGGTGTCCTTTGGGTTACGAGAAGCTCCCTCTTGAACAATGCTTCATTAGATTACACGTCTTCGTTAAACTGCTGGCCAAACTCTGCAAAAAGAAAAAAGGTTTTTATTAACTATCAATGACAAAATGTTAAAATCGTTTAAAGGTCGCATGTGATGGAGAATTTGGAAAAAACGGAAAACGGTTGTAAAAATCAATCATCAATAGACATTGTTTACTTGTGTAAAAGTAAATATTGAATGAAGGTAAAAAGAGACAACAATGCAATTATGCAATTAGTTTGTGGCGAATTTGCATAAGTGTATGATTTGACGAAAGACTATGGACTTGGATATTGATCGAAACAGTATTATTAGAGTGCGTCTATAATTTGAGATTGATAGGAAATTCATTAAAGTAAGAAAGTGATTTTATTTGAATCGGAAAATGCTAATGAGTCGCACTTAATAAAGTGACTGAATAGTGAAACACTTACGTGAGTAATCCTGGATTAGGATCCGCCTGGTACCAAGAGTACTGCGGCATGTAGCCCGCGTGGTGCGGGGGTGGCGGCGGGGGTGGTGGATGATGACCGGGCGTATGAGGATGGTGATGGGTGTGAGGCGGTGCATGAGGGTGCGGATGGTGCTTCATCTCTCCTGGCCAGGCGGGAGCAGGAGGACTCTCGTTGTGCTGGGGCGACATCTCGCTCCCAGGACTCGAACTGCCGGGGGTGTGACCCCCACCGCCGCCGCCCATGCCACCCAGGTATCCCGTCGTTGGGCTTCCTGACACCGAACTGCCGCCTCCTGGAAAACATTACACATTACAAATTATTAGAATTGAACCAAACCATCAAACAAAAACGAACCAAAAAGAAAAACTATAAGAGGTTTGTCTTACCTCCTTGCATCAGACCTCCAGGTTGACCAGGCTGTGGAGACGGTCCTCCAGGCAGCGTCGTACCACCGGCTAGAATATTCCCATGTTGACCGCCGCCACCGCCACCTCCTCCCTGCTGAGCCGCTTTCATCATCTTTTTATATTTACTCCTTCTATTTTGAAACCATATCTTCACCTGCAACACAAATAATTGTTCCCTTATAGTTATCATATCCCTTCTATCATCATTTTTCTTCAAATTTCAAATTGATAAACTGTCATTACAAAAGCACGATTTAAATATTTTCACAATTTTCCATACATTCTGGATGAAAGTACAAGGTTGGATTATCATCCACACATATATATACACATTGTATCAAAACATGTTATTTTTCCCACTGGCATAATCACACTGATGAGTTTATACTTGATGTGTGTATATACCTTACGTCGTCACATAATCTTACGTAAGAATGTCAGTAAAAAAATGTACGATACAAAAGAATGAAAGAATGCGCTTTGATTAAAAAAAATCTTGTTCAGTCAATTATCGCTGATCGGAAGACGCTGATTACAACGAAGATGGGTTTCCGATGAGAGAATATCTTGGCATTTAATTATACTGCGTGTAATGACGATTCTGACTCAGAGAATCGATGGTACATGAAATTTGTTTAGCATTATTTATTTGTTTAGTCGTCACCAATCTTTGTTTCGTTTGAAAAAAACAATACTGCTGTAAATAAATAAATGTCTACATAAGTTGTTAGAGAAGAGGTAAACAAATAAAGTGACGCGAAATGGGAGAAAAATCGTTTCGAGCGGGATTCGTGTCAAAAAGAGTTCATTACAAAACCGCATTGCGGATTCGTCTAACCTCACAAGGATTGTACTACTGGGCTTTACTTGTGCAATACAAGTTTAGCTGTAAGAATTTTCATCTCTTTATTATTTTTGTTCGAGTTGGATAATTGAAATAAAATATTCTCTTGAGAAACTCAACATACTGTTATGACTAGAAATTTGTACTGTTGTATCAGGGTTATTACAAAAATTTGATTTTATTTTACATTTTCTTTTACTAATAAACAGTACTTGCTAGTAACTTAGTAGTAACATTTACTAATTCAGAAGCAAAAAGTCAGTCACTAATTCAAATTAGTAAACATTTTTAGTTTTACCAACTAAAATTTAGAGAGTATAAAGTACACTGCGTAAATTAAATAATCTTGAAAATATGTTCCATCATGAATTAAGATTTTTATTGCCTTAAAGTAAGACTTTCATTTTACATAAAATATATGAGAAAAAAGTATAAAGAAGAGAGCAAAAGCAAAAACTTGTTGATAATACATACTACTATATAAGAAAAGTTTCGCATGTCTCTAGATGGAATATATAAATATAAAGAAGCAGAGTGCTACTGAATGAACATGTGGTCATATCACTTCACTAAAGGTATAGTTTGACAGCAATAGTATCTTAACTATATCTTAAGATTTAGATATACTTTTAAATTTTTCGATTTCGTTTTAATTTCTCCAGAAAAAAACATTCTAGACACACGTATTTGTAACACAAGTACCTCCTCTTTTAGAAAAATTACATATTCCGATTCCACGAAAAGACTATACAGGCAACAACGCTTCTGAAAAATTTGCTTTTCAAGCATTAGCTCCAGGCAAATTTGGTACTACAAGCTCTGATGTCGATCGCACCGCTGCTGATGCATATATAATGAGCATAAAATCGCTTTAAGTGATGGTTTTGTATTAGAGAAAAGGTGCACCACAGTAGGTTGCTTTAATCAGACTTTTAATATATTAATATATGAAAACTTGTCTAGTAGAATAAGATGAAAATTAACAAAAAAATGCAAAAATTCCTTTTTTTTAAATATTCAACATTTTTATTTGAAAAAAACCTGTTTTGAAAGTAAAGTTGAATTCTTATTTTGTCAAATGAAAATAGCGTTTTATAAACTATCGATATACCTAAAGATATGGGTCTGCACCACATTATCAACAAAACTGCGACTGTTTTAAAGCCATTTCTTTCCTGTCAATTAAGATCGGTGGTGAACGATTACATGCAATTACACGTAAGTTCACTCCAAAGCGAAAAAGTGATATGCGCTTGATGAGATTAAGTCGAGTCATAAATTTTTACATGACGTAACGATAAGTATAAGTGAGAGATATTATTTTTATTTTCTTGTACAATTGCTGTTCAACATATAGAGAAATTTTCAACACATCAGCAAATATTTTACTTCAAAATGCCTAACAACAACTAGCAATATAGTGTTTATAAAAAAAAATTTCTTTTTTAACCAATTTCAGTGACTGAGAATTCTGCATGAAAAAGAAGAATTTGTTAGTTGTTGGTTGAATTTAATTTGTAAACAATATGCGTTGATTAATGAATCAAGGTTAAGAAAATTTAAATTTTAAGAGAATGTACGCATGTTTTAATTATAAAATAGATTAAATTGCTTTATTCATTATATATTGCGTATTAAAAAGAATTCTTTTATTCAAAACTTAGTTATTATAAAAAAATATTTGTTAGAACAATAATTGAACAGGTAGGTTTTATTCTATTTAAACCATCGCTAATTATATAAATTAAACTGATTTCTTATAATTATTATTATTGTAATATAAGTAAAAATGCTTTCAGTTTGCAGTTTGCACTGTGCGGTCTGAAAAGTATTATAAATTAGAAAAATTGAAAACCTATTTTTCAAATAAATTGTTATTGTTAGTTTACATCGAAAGTGTGAAAACTGCCATTTTCTGTTTAAACTTAAAAAATAACATTCAATTTGTCTTTGACGACAACTAAATGCTTTTTGCATAATCTAAACAGAACAGGTCCTAATTGAGGCTTTTAGGTGTTAGGTGGATAGACGACGAGCAATTATAAGTGCGATAGTTAAATAACCGATAAACATTGGCTTGATTACTCATGGAAAATATTGGATGAAATTTTCAATTATTCTTTAAAAATAAATATTTAAACCGCGACGAGAGAGGAAATGAATGAACGTGCTAATTGGTATCAGTCATATCAAGTTATTATCTCTAGTTAGCCCCGTTGAGGAAACCCCCGGGGAACGCTGAATAATCCAATCTGTCCACAAAGCGAATAATGCCTCGTATCAGAGATTCCCCAAGCATACCTGTGGACCCCGTGCCGAAAGCAGTAACAAACTAATCCGTCATCAGCTCAAGTCGGAGTTCGCGGGGGTTCTGCTCGCGAGCGGCAATCACGCCCTCCCGCCGAGTGTGTTGACGTTTTTAGGGCTAGAGAAGTGGGCGAACCAGCTTATGGGTTAAAAGGGACGCGGCCACTGAGCAAATCGAATTAGCTGGCGCCTTGCTCGACGTTTCCTCGTGTGGGGTCTACCTGCCAAGTGCCTTCCATCATCCATTATTCGCCAAACTATTTGAGATGCAACCTTGTAATCTTGCGTGCGGGCATAATTTATGTGCGTCAGAAAACTCTGTTACTTTTCAAGTGCATATTTTAATGCTCCAGGAATCAAGAGAAACGAGAGTAATTAATCAGTGAATCAGTTTTCCTTCGTGCAGTGAAACAAGAAAGAAAACAGTTATGTTTTCAAGTTCACCTATAGGCACATAAGTCACAGCAATGACACACGTACCCTCTCGGTTTTGTGCCTCTATCACCTTTACTCCCCACACTGCTTCAGTGGTTTCCTCTTCCTGTCCAACATCGGTGATGCGCAGTGCCACCTCAACAACAACGAAATTCCCCAGCAATGCTACCTGCCGCCCTTGTACAGCCGCCGCTCTCGCTTCGTTATTTATTGCTACATTTTTTGTTTTCTACCAACAGTTCGGACTGTCGGTTCGTTCAAAAGAAGGGAGAGACAAAAAGAATGAGGGTGATAAAGATAGGGAGATCCAGTGCAGTGGCCCAGCGAAGCGCGCTTCCATGTCAAATAAGGTGCAAAAAGCTCACGATTAATGAGAATCTCGCGTTCATCAGAAGCTCTCATCGTGAGATGCAGACAAGAAGAAATACATTGTTATACATTATTCCTAGCAAAACTCACTCTCAGTATGCTTCCTAACTTTTGGAATTCAATTTCAATTGTATTTATAAAAAGAAATAAAATATTGCGCCTCAATAAAAGACTTATTACAGTTTACTGTGAACAATAGAAAACCCGCAAAAAGACGAAAGCTCACTAAAATCGAAACGGAATGTTTAATAGTTTCTGCACGTAGTCTGTACAGAACGGTGCCAACGTGATGACACCGTGACAAGCGGAACAACGCGTGGTACATCCCGACTCCGTCCTTTTGTATATCAATACCAGCATTTGTTATTTTCTACATATTCATAACGAACCGTTACATCATCGCCTAACCGTGCAATATTTGCCGGTTTTCTTTCATTTTTTACCTCTTTGTTTATCATGTACTACTCATATAATATTTAACTCTAACCAAAGCATTGTCACTCATCTCAAGTTTCTATCGTAGCTTTGGAATACAAATAATAGCTTATTTCAAAAAATATATTTGCACTTTTATTGCACTAGTAAAATTTATATGAGTGAATTTTTGAAAAAAGGGATCTAAGAAAAACTATTTTTTATTGCTTCAGTAATTATACATTGAAAACAAATTCTCTTCTTCTGCACCAAAAGGATTTTCCTCTTTCATATTCAATTTTAAATGTCATTTTTTAAATTTTTCTAAACAGAAAATCCTGGGTTCCAAATAATCCTCTTATTAAAATCTATACACTGTTAACTTGAAATTATCAAATTGAAACGAATAATTCATTTCAATTTCAGTAAGTTTTCAAAACCTGATAAATCCAAATTTTGTCATTTTGAGAAATTTAAACAAATGACAATTTTCACAAGACCATTAAAATTAACTTTAATGTAGAAGAATTGTAATAAACTATTCATTTTTGAATATTTTTTCTACACGGAAAAAAATAGTCGCAGAAATTTTCAGCGACTAATCGAAGACTCGTCGGATATGAACGAATGTTTTATAGACTTTTAGAAATGTTCTACGATTTTAGCAGAAATTCTCCAAAAAAAGTCGAGGACTTTCTAGAAACCTAGTAGCGGAAAACAGTCTCGGAATTATTCTAACACTTCATAGAAGGTTTCGTCGACGAGTCGCGGAAAATGGTGCGCAC